CTGTATGGTGTTTTGCTGACTTTGAATTTTTTAAATGCCAATGAACAGAAAACAATAGCTGCTGAGAGACACTGAATTATGGAAAATGCTAAATTAAACCAATCTATATATTTTAAGAATGTCGTCGGGCGGTGGTGGCGCACGCCTTTAATCCCAGCACTCAGGAGGCAGAGCCAGGCGGATCTCTGTGAGTTCAAGGCCAGCCTGGGCTACCAAGTGAGTTCCAGGAAAGGCGCAAAACTACACAGAGAAACCCTGTCTCGAAAAACCAAAAAAAAAAAAAAAAAAAAAAAAAAGAATGTCTTAACTTCAGACTGAAGGTCAGAAAATGTGTTGCATTGGAAGATGTTATGCTTTTGTTTCCACAGGAAATGAAAAGCTAAGGATTCCTTCAAAATTAATGAAAATCAGATTTGATTGGGGGAGACCTGAAAATCTTGGCTACAGACATGAAGCAAAAAAAAGCCAAGAAAGACTATAGGACAGGTAACATAAATGCTGATCCCTCAACATGGGAACAGCTGTGAGACTGGATGAGACATGATAAATCTTGTTGGCTACAGAATCCTCATGACTTATTATTACATGCTTTCCTTTCACATGGCATGGGTAGAGGTTTGGTTATACAGTCCAAAGTTAAAAGATGCTTTTTATCTGCTCAAACATAGAACAAAAAATCACCTTTAGTTGACTTGTGCACACCACATTCCATACTTGTGTTAATACAGATATTTATGTTACCTTTAAAAGGTTGTGTGTTTTCAAAAAAAGAACCAGACATCAATAAAAACAAGTAGCCCAGGTGATCCAGCCTCTCAGAATGCTTCTGTTGCAGTTTCCTCAAAATTCTGCATCCAGAGCAACTTCAAAGCTGCGAGCTGAGATGATCCTCACAAACTATCCAGTCAAGACTTTCAGATACACTTTCCCATCACACAGAGACTAAACAAAAAATAATACAGTTAGCTCCCCCAGGACTTGACCACAGTCCCAATTTTCTCAGGGTTCCCTAAGGATGTTATCATCCCCAGATAACAAGAAGCAGTCTAGAAAACAATGATGCCACAGTCCCAAGAGTTGGGGTGGGTGGTTTTTGGTCATTCGGTGGATTATGGATGTTTGTCATTGTTTGGGGCAGGGGGTGGAAATTGTTATTGGTCATAGTTAGGGAGGAAAACTAAGCAAAGGAGATTAGTTTCAGGGATGTTACTCTGAAAAGAAAAAAGGGGATATTGTATAGAAATGACAGGAAAAAGGGTAGATTGTTGAATCTACTTTTAAACTAAAAAGCAACTGCTAGTCTTAAATATTTTACATTGATGTGTATTTTCGTATATTGATACAAATTTAAGGTTATTTTTGTTTTAACATACTGTATATATGTTTCTACTCTTATTTAAGGCATTGTACTAATACAGCTCATTTAAAAATATAATGTATAATTAAGAAATCCAGGTTAATAATCATCTATAATAATCAAACTTGTAGTCATGTTAGGTATGTTTTCAAGGTTAAACAGAGATAATATTTTAGATAGACAGGTGGTCTTCAAACACTTCAGAGACCTACAGATTATAGCATTTAAGATGTTTCAATAACATAAAGCTTTTCATGATAGTGAGACATGTCTGCTCCTGGTAGCACCAATTTACTTCAAAAAGGATGATGGGCATCAAAGAACCACCATATGAAGTCTGCTTTCATTGTAACAAAGCTAGCTCCTGGGCAAAAAACTGACCTTGCCTCGACTGCTGACAGTATGCTGTCCAAATTGGACAAGCAACACAAAAAAGAAGGTGACTGTTGACCTTTGCCAAGACAAGGTGGGACAGTCCTTTGAAATTCCTGCTTCACAGAAAAGTCTGTCAGATATTCTAGGCCTTTAGGCCAAAGATGGATGACCCAACATTGCAGAGGAACTTTGGGTGACTGTCTAGGCAACCAAATGTTTCTGTCATTTCTATAGTTTTAGAAGTTTCTTGCTCTGCACTTCCTGTTTACTCAGGTAATATTATATCCTTCTTGGGTCTTTGATGGGGTTGAAGACTAGCTAGTTATAGTTTTCTTTGTTACCAAATTCAGAAAAGAAACTCACAAAAGAGGTGTAACATATGTAAGGATGAGAGACATAAAAGCTTAAATTGTTTATCTAAGAAAACTTTGAAAGCCAGATGATCCTGTAGCAATGCATTATAAATCCTAAAATATTAAGACTGTCTCTTAGTAATGTCAGAAGCTACACACACACAGTCTTACTAACAGGACTACCTAAACACGAGATGAACAAAGACAACAACAACAGACATGCCAAAATATGTTTTTTTTTTTTAATTTTACTCTTTGGGGGACCCACCACCCATCTCTCGATTAATTACATACATGGAGACTTATTCTTTCTTATGAACGCCCAGCCTTAGCTTGGTTTGTTTCTAGCCAGCTTTTCTTAACATAATTATCCTATCTACCTTTTGCCTCTGGGCTTTTATCTTTCTCTATTCTATATACCTTTCTTTACTTCTTACTCTGTGGCTTGCTATGTAGCTAGGTGGCTGGCCCTGATGTCCTCCTCGATCTTCTCTTCCTAGATTTCTCCTATTTATTCTCTCTGCCTGGAAGCCCCTCCTATCCTTTCTTCTGCCTTGCTATTGGCCGTTCAGTTCTTTATTAGACCATCAGGTATTTTAGACAGGCAAAGTAACACAGCTTCGCAGAGTTAAACAAATGCAACATAAAATAATGCAACACATCTTTGTATCATTAACAAATGTTCCACAGCATAAGTGAATGTAACACATCTTCATTCTAATATTTCACAATGAAAGTAGATAGGAGAAAGATCATGAAGTCTCAGTCACAAACACACACACACACAGAAAGAAAGAAAGAAACAAACAAAAACAAACCCTATAGTCAACTAAAGAATGTTGAGAGCTACAGAAAAGTCTTCTCCAGGAAAGAATATACCAATTGGTTTTCCAATATCAAACAGTTGGCCCTAAAAACATACATACAAGTAACATTGTACAGATTGAGCAAGTTATATTCAGAAATTTATATGTATATATAAGAAGCCAATCATGAAAACCTATATATGGTATGTATCAGCTTGTTCTATATATTCAAAATGAACAAAATATAGAGACAGAAAGACTGATTGCCTGGGAGTAGGGAAGGGACTAATTGGAAATGTTAATGGAGCTGAGGGTCTTGCTTTCTGGGACATGTACATATATGCATATAAAAACAATTAATTAAAAATGAGGTCATGATTTCAAAGAGAGCAAGGAGGGATATATAGGACGGTTTGGAGGGAGGAATAGGAAGGGGGAAATGATATAATTATATTAGAACTTCAAAAATAAATGATTAAAAAATGTGGTGACTAAAAGGTGTGATTTATGTTTAATTATTTGCTTACTTTTCTCTACTTACAAAATTAATCATACATAGGCCAGTGAGATGACTCAGTGAATAAAGGTGCTTACTGCCAAGCCACATAAGCTGAGCTCAATCCTGGGAACCCACATGACAGAAGGAGAACCAATCCCTACAAGCTGCCCTCTGACCTCGACATGTGTGCTCACACCCACATAGCATAAATTTTAAAAAAATGTAACTAAAACTAAATGTGGCCAATAAAGAACTCATCAAAAAACTAACTGTATGCTCAAGGCAAAATCTTGGAAAAGTCAAGTGAGAACATATCAGAAAGCAAACATCTTACCCAGAGAGAATCTTCTTGTCTATATTTATGTAACATATTCTATGGTTCTCCTTCATTTATGTGCAGGCTGTGGATTCCAAATCTGAGGCTGATACTGACAAGGGACTGAAGCATGCTCCATCAGAAAAGTACTTGTCACGCAAGTCTGAGGACCTGAGTTTCCATACCTACATTAAAAGCTGGACATGGCTACATGCACTGGAATTCCAATATTTTAGAGGTAGAGACAAGAAAGATCCCTAAGACTTGCTAACTAGCCAGTCTAGCCTAACCAGGGAGCCCCAGGCCAGTGAGAGACTGTCTCAAAAACACAAAACAAAGTAAATATAACAAGGTAACAAGCATCCTTGTTGAGGAACACCCAAGGTTTGAATATCAGCCTTCTCACATATACAGACACACACACGCACACGCACACAAATACACATATACACAAACTAATGCTATGAAGTGATGCTTTTAAAAATCTGAAGAAAAATGTATTTTTAATCTAGATTCTACACCTAGTCAAACTGTCAAATGGGTATAAGACATTTGCAAGCATTTTCAGACCCGTAAAGGCTCAATGTTACCCAGTACCTGTTGTTTCTAAGAAGGCTACTGGATGTCTTCAACCAAAATAATAGCACTAAGAAAGAGGACAAATTGAGGTACAGAAAACAGGAACTAACCCAGAAAGCAAGTCAAGGGAGCAGGCCTACAGCACAGCTGGCCCAGAAAGGGGGAGACTTTTTGCAGACTCAAAGAAATAGACTCAAGAGATTCACTAATGTGACTCGCCTTGTGGAAATTTTATTATGAGGATACTGGAAGACTTAGAAAGAAGAAAAGCAAGCGAAAAGGACAATGTTCATTTCAGGAAAAGCAGAAAGTAAAAATAGGAACGTAATCATAGTACACTATGCTGTTCAGTTAAGAATACTATCTGTATATGCACCATAAAGTGTGAAGACTGCTTTAACTAAAGTTTTAGACAATTCCCTTTGTAGGCTAGGGAACAAAGTAGAGGAGAGGTAATTTAAGACAGCTAAATCTTGATCCACACACTAGAATATTATAGGCTAAATTGATACCTCAAAAGACAGAAGTAAACACATTATTTCAGAAATATGGGAATGCCAGAAGTAACATCTAGAAGAGCTGAAAGTGGTCATATCGAAGTAGAAGGTTGGGGGAGGAGGGCACATCTTGTCTTTTAGGATCAACTTAAATTATATTAACACATTACTTTGATAAAAGAATGTATCTTAATGGGCAGAAGAGCTTAATAACATACATGGAGTTTCCAAACCCTTCGCTTTGGCCATCACAGAAAGTATGTCCCGAGTGGAGTGGACAGCGCTGAAAACATGTCTGTCTTCTGACTTCTTACAAAGAGGAGGCAGGTAGCACTTCAAGGATGTGCTTTGAAGAAGGTGGTTGATATACTGGTCAAGTTCATCTTGGCTTTCTGTAATTGGACAACCAAGGAAAAGAATCCATGAAAACAAGCTGTTGAGGAGACAACATTCAGCAACATATATTTGCACCTCCACTCACACTAAAAGGATAAAGCTAGTGACAGGTGTGTCATATGTATATATAAATTTATTGTTTAAAAATCTTCATTGTGGGCTAAGGAAATTCAGAATGAGACAGTGTTTAAGTCACACCATCCCAACGCAAGCAGTAGAATATGAGAACAACCTGAAGAACAGCAGCTGACATGCTGTCTTAATCTTAGAATAAGCTAAGCCTTATGGAGCTTTCTGCATCACTTAGAAACGCTGTCTAAAAGTAAAAACAGAGCCCAGTGGTGGTGGCCCACGCCTTTAAGTCCAGCATTCAGAGGGAGAGGCAGGCAGACCTCTGTGAGTTCAAGGCCAGCCTGGTCTACAGAGTGAGTTCCAGGGCAGCCAGGGCTGCCACACAGAGAGACCTTGTCTCAAAAAACCAAACCAAACAAACAACAAACAACAAACAAAGTAGAAATGATCACTTTGATCCAAAGCCATGTTCAGATGAAGACATATTATATACGTGTGGGGTTTCACCCCTCATATCTAATCAAAACTAGGTCATTCCTACTATTCCTTTCAAAAGTGAAGCAATGTGTTTCTCTTTTACGGATCTGTTTCGTAAGGGCCTGCCAGTGCAGCTCAGCAGTACAGGCATGCATGAAGCTTTGGGCTCACCCTCCGGTCAGGATTTAGTTTAAGTAGCTGTGCAAACCCCTTGAAGGAGCACCAGGAGCAGCTGGTGCAAATGAACCACCGAGGTCTGAGGGGCAAATGGACCATATTAAAACAGAAACAGCCGGGCGGTGGTGGCGCACGCCTTTAATCCCAGCACTCGGGAGGCAGAGCCAGGCGGATCTCTGTGAATTCGAGGCCAGCCTGGGCTACCAAGTGAGTTCCAGGAAAGGCGCAAAGCTACACAGAGAAACCCTGTCTCAAAAAATCAAAAAAAAAAAAAAAAAAAAACCAGAAACAAGTAAAAAGAGGGCTGCTGAGATGGGTCAGTGGGCAATGGTGCCTGCTGCTGCCAAGCTCGACAAGCACAGTTCAATCGTCAGGATTCACATGGGGGAGCAAGAGAGTCACCTTCCCAAAGCTGTCCTTTGACCCCTACATATGTTATATATGTCATGGTATGTCACACATACACACAAAGAGAGAGGGGAGGGAGAGGGAGAGGGAGAGAGGGAGGGATAGAGAGACAGAGAGAGAGAGAGAGAGACAGAGAGAGAGAGAGAGAGAGAGGGATAGAGAGGCAGAGACAGAGAGAGTAAATAAATAAATGGGAGACAATTTATTTCAATCTATGAGCAGTCTTGTACCTGAGACTTTCCTATGGGGCTGATGAAGCCCTGCTTTCAAGGGCACCCATGTAATTTAGTTTCTTACACCAGCACTTCATTTGTTTGAGTGAGCAGAATCTTCAGATGCCTTGTTTTCGTTTGTTTGCTTTTAGCTCACTTGTCAACTGCCTTCTGTATTTGGGTCTTAGGCAATTTTATCATAGCGTCAAGGTTTAAACCAATTCAACCAACAATCCACGGAAGCCCGCCGCAAGGTACCTGGATGAGTGCTGTCCTCCATGTATCCTCCTATGTCTGACTCACTGTCAGGACTAAAGCTCCCATCACTGACGTCATCAAACAACTTCTCGTCACAGTCTGGATCCAGGAAGGTCAGGTAGGTGTAGAATGAGGTAGTGAGGAACTCTGCCAGGTTTCCTAGTTTTACTCTGTCAAGAAGGTACTATGTTAGGGATGCAGGTAGAGAATCACTGGGAAACTCTTCACCAGCTAGTTCACACCTCTGTAGGAGTCAGTAACTATTGGCCCTATCAAGACAAGAAACAAACCCAAAGACTCAATACAATAGTTGGGCGTGGTGGGGAACGCCTGTAATTCGATCACTTGGGAAGTAGGAGCAAGAGGACCAGAAGGTTGGGACCATCTTCAGCCTCACAGAAAGTTTGAAGCCAGCCTGGACAACATAAGACTGTGCCTCAAAAAGCAAAAACATCAAAACATTTATTCACAAGTATGAAGTGAAAGCACATAGCATTTAATGACAAAAGATTCATGCCACATTTCTGTCCCCAAACCTATCAAATACAAATCCACTTTCCTGATCAGCTAACAATTTTACAAAATAAACTGAGTAAACCCCTTTCAGTTAGAATCAAGCTCTGGGATTTCTCTCCCTTAAAAACTGGATTAGGAGCAGTAATTCCCCTGGTGTGCTTGTCCCTGCCATGAACCATGGTGAGACAGGTGCAGGGGATTTATGATGCAAGCCACATGCCTCTGAGTGAAGGGTCTCTCTCTAAGCAAGTCACGGGATTAACCCACCATTAACCTACCATCCTCACATTGACACCGATGCACCCAGCACAGGCCCTACTGTACTGGGCTGAGAAGTGCTCCACTGAAAACCAGCAGCTTGGGTCTTGCTAAAGAGGTATCAGCAACTAAGATACTGGGAGCCCACACGCTTTCTGCCCTACAGAAATGTCAGATATTGAAGTGGAAGACAACAGGACCTCCCTCTGAACTCCCAGGATCAGATCAGGATTTAGTTAATATGCATGAGAACCGAAGAATCCAGAATAGATTGTTTATGGAGGAAATCAGAGTATGCAATACAACACCTCATAGGTGCCCACATTTCAATAGGCACAGGACAAGACGACAGTTGGGGAAGAGAAGTCTGTCCTTAACTGAACAAAAGCCTTCTCATGGAGAGCAAAAGGCCAGTTCCAAGGCTCATTTTGTTTTGTCCCGGGGTTGGGGAGGTGGTCCTGGAAAGCCAAAATGCAATGGAAACCTTTCCTCTGATGCAGGTGAAAGCAGCGGGCTTTCTGAGGCTAAAGAGAGCTCAAAGGAAGGCAGTCACCTAAAAAGCTTTTGGTAGCAGGAGACTCCAAGTAGGTCTAGTAGGTACAGTGAGTTCAACTTTTTTTTTTAACAAAACGAAACAAAAACAACCTTAAATATGAAGAAACCCAAATGGGACTCAACCTTAATTATCAAGAACTGAATTGGGGGCTGGAGTATTGCTCTGAGGTAGAGAGCATGTAAGCCTGAGGCCCTGGATTTGATTCCTAGTGCTACAAAACAAACCATAATTGATTACAACAGGTAGCTGAGAGAGCCTCAGCATTCCAATTTCTTCCATGGTTCTGTTCCCAGTGCCTTGTAAACAGGAGGCCCTAGGTCTAAGGGTTAGAGGTTGGTTCTGGATCACCAAAGGGCTCCTATACCTATTTGTCTTATAGCCCTGGCACTCTGAGCTCACGGTTCCTTACCCATAGATGAGACTGTAGCTTGCCACAAAGCAAAGACTAAATGAGACAATATTCAGGGCACATTGCAAAACTCCTAACTGCACACTATATTCTTTTTACAGCGATCAGATTTCAATAAAATAATGTATTTGGTAAGATGGTTTATTATAGGCCTATGATATTTTCTTCCGGCCATGATGCTGTCTACCAGGTGGCAACTAAGGCAAGCTAGAGGCAAACTGCTCCGAAGTGGATGCTGATGGGAGTTCCAATGCTAGCCCTGCAAATGTAGACAGTACCACACTGGGGACTGTCTTGACTGACACTCCTAAGGGGCCAAGGGAAGCCTGCACGGGAAGCCACTTCTAGGCTACAGTGGGGCCCACAGGAAGCTACAAGGGTACAGAGGACAACTTCAGGAGCTGCAAAGAAAACCACGTGGGGCCGAAGTTAAAAAAAGGTTCCGTTCACCTTGAAGGACACCAGTGAGGTAGTAAAAGGAGCCAGTCATTAAAAGTTCTTACATTATACAAGCTGTCTGCCTAAAACCACGGGGACACAAAAATAGATAGGCTGCTGCAGGCGGGCAGGCCAGCAGAGGGCTGTTTCTTGCATATGGTGTTTTAGTTCTGCAAGATGAAAAGTGTCCTGGAGATCTGTTTCACATGATAGAAATGGACTTGACATCATGAGCTGCATACTTAGGTATGGTGTAAATGGCAAGGTAAAAGATATTTTATCTGAAAATTAAAAAAAAAATCATGCTTTCCCTGTGGCAACAGGTGGGATGCTGTATGAAGAGGTAACTTGACTTCCAAACACTGTCAGCAGCTGGTGAGCTAGCCCAAGGGAATCCTCTCTGCCTGGGGAAGGTCTCATGGTCTGACTGGATAGTGAGGCTCCATTGGGAAGTTATCTGACATACTCCCAGAGATTCATGGAGATGAAGATGTAGAAGCTACAGATAAATCCTCTACTGTGGGTCACTCAGAAGGACAAAATGAGAAGGTGGTTCCTGTAGAGTTAGCAACCCTATTCACCTAAGGTGCCTGAGAATCATACTGGAGAGAGTTGTGCTCTAGGACAACAGACCCAAATAGGTGCCATGCCACTGAAGCTGGTGGACAGTGACTCATGCAGGACTAATCAGGTGCTTCGCTTCTGAGGGCCACTGAGAAATCTTTCAAGTCAGCTTCCATTGAGTACCTCTGGCCCCTCCCTAGGTCATGTTGCAGGAAGGATAACACCTCTAAGAGACTGCGATGTTCACTCTCTAAGATGGTAGACTTCTGGTGCCCAGGAAAGTTTAATAAGCAATGACCAATGTTGCTTTAGACCTGATTCAAGTTGTCCATGGGAGATGGAATTAACTTAGCTTCCTTCTTACTCTAATATTCTGCATGTCTAGATTCAGAAATTGATGCAAACAGTGGGAAGAGGACAGTAAGAGACTTTCAGGAAGGTCAATGTTATTCTTGTTTAATGAAAAGAAATCCCAACTTACCTAGCACCTCCAAAATATCCATCTTCTAGTTTCCTGATTGTAGAAAGAACTGCAGGATGAATATCTGATCCATCACTGGCTAAGGAAAAAAAAGATGAATGAGTTTTCTTCATCTGGGAGTACAATGCACTGCAATGTTCTCACCAGCACAACCCAATCAAAACCCTTATGGTACAGAAGATTCCCGAGACAAAGAAGTCAAATGGCTAAGGATCCCCTTCGGTACTTGACACTGTCCACAGGAACTGTCCTAAACATTTAGGTAAGAGCCCATGACCCAACAGATGGAGTTCATAGAATTACTGAGCATGGTGTGCGTGACAGGGAAGGTGAGTGTGGGGCGGCCGGTCATCCGCCAGCAGGTGCACAGATAGGCCAGCTCGATCCTCAGCATCTCCACAATCATCTCGTTGTCCAGGGCCAGGTAGAAGTGATGCTGGTCCGTAAACTGAAAGTTAGAACAGGCCAAAGTCAAGGGCCACCCTTCACTTATTTCCACACGGCACCTGTCAACTCGGGGCAGCACTGATCCTGAACCTGTTGCCAGGGAAGATATTTGGTACTGGCCTCAATCTTCTGATCAGGCGGCCACTTTCTCTGAGATGAGACATAATAACCTGTCACCTGCCCAGAAGCTGCAGCTATACTGGTATGAAAGGGAAGGTGTGTTTCTGCACCTGCCTTCAGCTCTTCCCATAGGGGATCTAAGCGTCTTCCTCACCACTGAGGGCAAATAAGAGCCTGTGATTGCTACCCCTTTTGGAGATACCGGGTTCGCAAATGCTTCCCAGGTGAGGGAGAGCTGGGAAAACTGTCCATCTGACTGATGCCTGCTTAATGCCCATCAGAGGCACTACCACATACTCATGCAAATCCAGTTGTCCTCCTGACCTCTGTGCTCGTGCACATTCACCTCAGCAGTTAGAACTTGGAACTAAGAGAAATAGTTTGCAAGGTTGAAAGTGGCAGCTGCCGAGGCAAGACCCCACAACCAACCACATGTGCAGGTGGGCAGGGGTCCATGCTGTGACTCACAACTGACAAAATGACCACATTGTTAATCTTTCCAGCTTCTCAAATGGAGAAAACATTTTTTTGGTATATGCTTCCACTAGTTTAGTTTTCTTTAGGAACAAACATTCTAAAGGTAAGTACTACAGTCAGTGGATTCTGAATCTCAGGAAGGGGCTGGGGACCTGCAAACCAATGCAGTTGTATGTCATTCTGAGGATTCTAGGACAACCTTCACAAAGGCTAGGGACTACTCATGTTAGCTGATAGGAGCCAAGGGACATGTCACATTGTAAAGCAATGTGGATTTCTTTAAAATTCATGTCTGGAAGTCATGACATATTCAATTTGATTCAAGTAACATCAACTGAGCACCTACTGTAAGCATTTTCTATACTTCCACCTGATCCCATGCATATAAAATTCTTCCACGTTTGAAGGAGAAATGCTTATAGATAGAAAAGAGAACTTAATGAGAGGATGCTGGATGCTGGCTTATTTTCTACTGCCCCCACTTTTTTCTTCTGTTTTTTTTTTTTTGAGTTAGGGTCTTACCATATAGCTCTGGCTGGTCTAGAACTCACATAGACCAGGCTGGCCTTGAACTCATGGAGTTCTACCTGTCTCTGCCTCCCTAATGCTGAAATTAAAAGCATGCACAACCATGCTCAGCTGGCCTGTTCTTTTTACCTGGGGTGTAAAAGTGAAGATCTGGTTCCTAATCACATAGAGTTTAGAGGTGCCAAGGACACCAATGTGCCGATATGGTCGACCACCCAACTTCATATTCTTATTTCGACCTATTTGAAATAGAAAGGAGAAACTGGAGTTAGAGGAAATAAAGTAAGAGCTATTCTTGGTGACCTAGGCTAATAAGGCTGGGCTTATTTTTGTGTCAGACAATATACTCAGGGGTTTGTTTTCCCAATACCACAGCCTTTCAAAAAGAGGGACAAAGTTAAACAGAGAAACAAATCCTACCCCCTCTCTTCATGCATGGACATGAACAATGTCAGTTTGTTCTATATGAATAACTATTAAAAGGACTTTATTAATACTGGCTTTGAATTTACTTAGTACTCAGCCATAAACCAAACAAATTCAGATTCTAAGAAAAGGGAACCAACTCCTACTTTAATAGGTAAAATGAGTATTTGGGGGTACCACAGATAACAATTAGAAGCTGCATCCTGACACCCATGACTCTTTCAACTGTGACATTTCAAAGGGAGTTGCTTATTCTCCAACAGATCTGCCAAACAGTGGGGCCCTCTTATGGCAGTATGGGTTGGCTGAGCTGAGGGGAATCTGCTTGCCTGTCCATTCTTCACAATGGAGAGGACCCACTGGTTGACCTGCCTAGTGCTCTGCCCAGGTCTCCAGAACTTACAACAAAGTTTTCTCAAACCCAAACCTAGAACCTAGAAAGGCCCTCTTTGCCAGCTATCCCCCAATACTTCCCTGACCTACCAAGTTTGGCATATATGTGACTAAGAATCCGGCCTGGCTGGACTTGAATTGGATGCACATCAGCAATGCTCTGGACATTCACCCCATGTTGCCGCAATAGCCCCTTAACGTGACTGTTTTCTGCCAAAACAGCGACTGCAAACGAGAACACAGAATCCGCATCAGATTCATGTCTGGTGTCTCTGCACACTGAAATACGATTCTCCCTTCTGTCCAACACTAGACATGCACCTCAACACATACAATGCATATCTGTCAAGTGCCCTCACTACACAGGACAGTCTGAGAGCTTCGAGAAATAGTTTTCAATAGGTTCTACACCAACTTAACCTATCTGAAATAATGTCTTGCCTCTGTCTGGGTCTACATTTATCTAAATATGCCTTGTGTCCTTTCACACAGGGTTAGGAGTAGAAACAGCTACCTCAGGGGACGTCAGAAATCTGTGCTCTTGCTCCCAAAATTTTGGCAGGGGAATTGAGAATATGGCAGTCTGCTTACAGGGAATGCTTTAACTTGAGAGAGAGAAGGAGAGGCTATCTTTCTTTTCCCTAGAAAAGAAAGCGGGCCTGCTGGTGGAGACACTGGTAGAAGCAGGACTGTCTGGCCACTTAGAAGCACAGCACAAAACCCCACAGAAGAGAAAGAGCACCCATCCCAGCTGGTTCGAGCCCTTGGCTTTCTGGCTGTCAGGGGCCTCCAAGTATCCAGGTCCTGGCAGCCTATGCAGACATTAGCCTTAGCTTAGAGCCACATCAGGGATGACCGGGTGGTATCGATCATACTAGAACTGCCTGCCTTTATGAGAAAGCAGTGTGTGGGCAAAGGGATGGAGTCTGGGAAGGGGCTTGCAGAAGAGGAGGACAGTCACAGGAAGCAGCTGGTATCTTGCCCAACTGCAGCAGAGCCTTTTGGAAACTAGAGGGACTCAGGGCCATGCTCAGTCCAGAGAACAAAGGCGAAGCTATTGTTGGGGTGTCTTCCCCAAATCCCACCATTATATCCATAGGCTGGAGGGGGGCAGTGCTGAACATATGATACATATAAATGCCACTGAGAGCTGAACATTACCTCCTTACATTTACATACCACCTGATGCTTTTTAAAGGGTTTTAATACCCATGATCTCATCTTCCCAGGGAACCTTAAGAGAAGCCATGAGAATGCTTAATTAGCCTACAATAGATGAGGCAGAACTGGAGCCTAATCCCCCTCTTCCCCTAGCCTTCAATAAATGGAGTGCTGGCTATGCAAGACTGGCCAACATTTCTAAAACCATCCCTTCTGAAACTTCCACTGACAAGCAGAATTCCACATTTATCAAAGTCACACAGCTGCCACTCTCCATAAGACTGCCTCTTTCAGAGAGTAGTTGGAACTGAAACTGGAGAGAGCCTCACGGTCTGACACAATCACATGAGATCCCGTCCTCCACTGTTTGTGTGTGAGAGGGGCATGCATGTGCCAAAGGATGTGTGTGGAGATAAAAGGGCAACTTGCAGGAGTCAATTCCCTTGTTCCGCTACGTAGACTTTGGAGATTGAACTCAGGCGGTCAGGCTTGGTGGCAAAGTGCTATCACCTCTACCTCTTGAGGCACCGCACAGGATCTGCATGAGTTATTAAAACAGCCCCTGACCAGTTACTCCATGTGAGATCCTCTGATAATGCTGCTCTGTTCTACTACACTAAAAAAATGCTGGGGTGGAGAGATGGTTCAGCAGTTAAGAGCACTCGCTGCTCTTGCAGAGGACCCAAGTTTGATTCCCAGCATCCATTTCAGGTGGCTCACAATTGCCTGTGACTCCAGCTCCAGAGGACCCAACACATTCTTCTGGTCTCCTTGGGTACTGCACATAAATTCATACTCAGATGCACACACATATATACATAATGAAAAATAAAATCAATAGATTAAAAAAATGCTGGATGAAATCTATTAGTAAATCCCAGCCCACAGTTGGAAAAGAACTCTTGTAGATTTAAGAGTCAAATTAGCAGAATATGTGTTGGTCAAGTGTGGAGACTAAGGAGCATAGCTGGATCAGCCTACCAGGATATCAATAATAGGTTCCCACCTCTAGCTGTCAACTGAGATCCATGAGTGAATAAGTTAACCTTTAAGCTTCATGGAGATAAGCAATGTCATAAATGTCACCTAATCAGAATGTTATGGTGGTTAGCTGTACTCTGTATACACTATTGATGAGGTAACAACTTGTAGCTCTTCTCATTGTATTATGGGCATGCTCATTAAAATGGGCCGGTGGCCCCAAAGAGGAATGCTTTCCTATTTGTTCAATCATTATTTTCAATGTGTGGGTGTACAGGTGTCAATCAACACAGAAGAGAATACAAGCCTTATCCTTAAGAAGTGTACACCCTAAGCCAGGCATGGTGGTTCATGCCTATAATCTCAGCACTTTGGAAGACTGAGGTAGGAGGATGTCTGTGAGTGCAAGGCCAGCTTTGGCTATGTAGTGAATTCAAGGACGGCCAGTTTTATGAAGTAAGACTCTGTTTCAAAGGACCAAAAAACAATACACAAATAAAGAAAAGTATGTAGCTTAATTTAGGGGCAATGCGTTATATATATACACAGCAGACTGACATTTGACAGTATCTGAGTGTTCTATAAGGCACTCTGAATGTGTCAGAGCTGTCACAGTCCCTTAGTAGAGGAAACGGAAGGGGTTGCTGCTCTAAGTGCACACCACAGACCAGACCTAAACTGAAAGCTTCCTCCATAGCCATCTCCGTTGTCTGCAGGACTGCTTGGGGAAGAGCAAGAATCCTAGCAGCCCTGAGACATGGCCTGTTGGGGTACCCTGGGAGAGGTAGCCCTACTGGGATTCTCACCTTTTTGGAGGAGGAACTGGCTAAAGAGGAAGGAAGGGAGGGTGGAAGCAGGTGGCAAGACCTGAGACCTCAAAGGGACAAATGAACTACTGCACTTTTTGGGTGGGAACAATCCCAGTGTTTTGGGGGCCTGCCCGAGTTATACAAGGTTTCTCACAGATGCCTACATCTTACTGTACAATGAATCACACACACACACACACACACACACACACACACACACACACACACACACACTCTTTATATCTTTTTTCCTGTGTCAAGGTCTTACTACATAAACTAGACTGGCCTTAAACTCTCTAAGAAGCCAAAGGTGACCTTGACTTCTGATCCTACTGCTCTTACTTCCCTAATGCTAGGATTATAGGTGCATGCCATCATGTCTCAGTTTATATGGCGCTGAAAATTGAGCCCAGGGCCTTGTACATGCTAAGTAAGCACTTTACCAACTGAGTTACCTCCCCAGTCTGGCTTTGAACTCTTGACCTTCCTGCCTCGGCCTCCCAAGTCCTAGGATTACAGGTATGCACTGCTAGAACCCAGCTAAACATCCTTCAGAGTTTTTCCAAAAGGCACTGGGGAACAAGGTGAATGAAAAATCAACACTGCTTTTATACAGTAGAGACGGATAGGAAACACGCTCACAAACCTTGTACTACAACATCAGGTTTGACTGAAGTAGAAAATCTTCTATTTAAGGGGTCAATTTCACCAGTGGCAAGGAATCCCTAAGAAGAGAGGAGCATTAACACTATGAAACACTGCTTTAACTAAGATTTCACCGTGCTCCTAGACTTGAAAATGACATATTGGGGGCTCACACCCTCGAAAACCTTTTCTTCATATTTGTTGATTCTCTCTCCCTAACAGAGTATGCTACTCAGACAGCTACTAATAAATGTACTGCATGCTTGGTGCTCAGCTCCGAGGGTTACTCAAACATGCCCCCACATTGTGTGAGTGAAAAGAAAGTTATTACTAGTGCTAGCTGAGTTCCTGCGTGTACACTGTCACACTCGAGTCTCCTGTGTCCATCAGCAGTCCACGGGTGGGGAAGCTGACACGAAAGTGCTTACAGGGAGACTTCGGTCCAGGGCTGACTGCTTGGACAGAAAACTCTCCCCATCTTGTTGACTGTGCTCTTTAAAAATATACCTTCTTACACGTTCTAGAAATGATCCAAGCATCCAAAGGGGATGAAGGTGATCTGAGATGGAGTGGACCTACTGCTGGGCCCTAGGAAGACTTGTATATTGGAGAGGAGGTCTCAGGAGTGGAGTTAAGTTATTTCTCACCTCACACGTACTGAAATCTGAGCTGGAATGCATTGTACAGGCAATTGAGGCCCAGCGAGGTTAAGAGACCTGCCAAAAGTCACTGAGCTGGTTGGCTACAGGATTGACTTTCAAGAGGATATATGTGCAGTCCTATAAAAAAGTCATGACCATGGAACTTGGGAGATTAAATATACCTGGGAATCACCTCAGCAACCAGTGTCCCCAGGGGATGTGTCCACTGTGCTTTCTTTCACTGGTCTTTACCACGCCAGCACCCCAGTAACATTCTGGTGCCCTGTCCTCTCCCCCGGTTTTATAGGTGGCAGAGCACACAGGCTGACCAGCCTTAGGTGGCCAGTCCCTTTCTTCTTTAGGCTCCTTCCCCACACCAGAATTCTCACTCAAGACTGGGAGATTCACTTTAAAGCTTTTCCAACAGAAGCCTGGGGGCAAGAGGGAGTGGACCAGGAGGTGGGTTGGTATGGGCTGTGGTATCTGAAGGACCTGTGCCTGCTGTCTCTTTCTAGGGAGAGATCTGAAGAGCCCTTCTGCTTCCTGTGTCCTGGGCTGAGAGAGCTTCTAGCCCATCCAATAACTTCTTAACCCTGTCTCTTCTAGGATCAGATGTGCTAATCTTGGCTGAAAAGGTCCCCATGTCTGCTGAGCAACAATGCAAACAGATTCTAACTAAATAACAGAGATTCTGCTGAGAGGGAGACAGGGAGCATGGCATGTAGCTGATCTAAATTGGTTTTATTGTAAATATGGATATGAAAGGCCAGAGAGAAACCTGGGGCCCAAAACAGCCCAGGCGACCTGGAAGGTAATGAAGTTGCACAGACTATTAATAGTCACTCAGTACAGAGAACCACTGTACTCTTCCCAGATTCCTGTACCTCCAATCAGATGGATAGATGGCTTTCCAGCCTAGAAAGCCTACCTCTGCCAGCAGGGAGCTGAGGATGTACAAGGACTGTCCCCAAAGATGGGGCAGCTTCCCCAGTGGAATTCGGTCTACTGTGTGTGGGTTCTTGTATTCTTCATCCACCTGGCAGAGAAAATGAAAAGTTCAAGGTCAGAATGTCAGAGGACACAAAGGCCTGCAATAGCCTATATTTGGGGAACACACTGAAGAGTTACAAAGCAGTTCTCAGCCTCCAGACCAATTCTGTGCAATACAGGATGGTGAACTCAGAAGGCAAAAACTTCCTCTCTCAGCACTCCAAGGCTATAAGCAACAGAGCGGGATTTCAAATCTTGGCCTGGTCCGAGGCCAGTGTTCCTCCCATAAGCATACCCGGGGCCGCTGGTGCTGGAAGCTTGACCTTCCTGCTCTATACCCAGCTCTGGGCAGCAGGAAGCTCCACAGCTCTTGCTTATGGATGGCTGTGTTCTCATAAAAGCCCAACCCAAACAGCAGCCTGCAGATGCACAGTGCATAGCTGGATGTCAAGCCTGCTTTCTTCTGCTGGCTTACCATCCCCAGGGATGTGTGCCCATGCAAGAAAATTACCAGAAGGTGGCACTATGCACTGAGGAAAACCAACAGTGCTGCTACCACTCCCCAGACCACCACTTTAGAAAGTGGCATTTCCCCAGAGCTTTATCTTAGCAACATAAGCTTCTGTGCTTTTTTTAAATCCTAGCAATGCCTGCTCGCTCTGAGGACAGTGCCAGCTACATATGGGATGCTCTCCTTCTAAACTCCATGCTTCCCTTTAAGGTTTTAGTCATTGAAACATTGATTAAGGTAGTCATTCAAAGGAAACAGGAAACATTTATCCCTCTATAAGGGAAAAAAAACTGTATCAAGTGTTTATGTGTGTGTTGGGGGGAGTTTATTCTCAGTATTGTGGATTAATATTATCAATATGCTTAATAAAGATTTAAATTTCTTGATAGTAAACATTCAAAAATTTAAGTTTTGCACACACTGAATGGAACTATCACTTGGTAGTCAAATAGTCAAGAAAGAATAACAGTACGGAAGGAAATTCTCCAAAATGCAATAGTGGTTATTACTGAGTCATAGCATTAGGGATAGCAAATGGTTTCTTCTTTCTACAGAACTCTCTATATATTTTATAATGTATAACATTATTTACAATTGACTAGCACATTACATACACATCAAATACACTGAAATGCAACTATTAAGGAAGACTGCAACAATCTAGACTGAGACTATCTATTGCAAAGAACAAAAAGCAGACAAGCTTTTTAGGTCAAAAATGAACTTGTTTTGCCCTTTTTCCCCGCTAGAGTTCAATTCTGCCTCTTCCTGGAGGCATCCCTCTCCTCCCTATTCTGGTCCTTCTGAACTACTATTTACAGGTACATTTGTAGCCTGTCTTTGCTTCCATTTCTGTGGCTGCCTCCATCTCACAGCCTAGTTCTGCTTTCACCTTATAGACTCAAAAATACAGAAGCACCTTATGTACTAGGCTGTGCCAGGCATGGAGCAGCTGCTCACTACATGTTTGCTGGACACACTTTCACTAGCCCCCAGTTGTGCAGTGGAGGGTCCAGAGACGGTGGCACCTTTCCCAAGCATACAGGCTGCATGCCACACAGTCCCAGACTTTCCTAATTTGTACAAAGCTGCCATATAGCTTTGTGGTGTCTTGCAAGATTCCTTCCCAGTGGTCTCTAAATGTTATTGATGTGACTGAAGAACCTTGCCAACTCTCACCTGCAAAGCTAACACAAAATGAAATTAAGGTAAAATACTGTCCAATGCTGGTGCCTAGGATATAAGCTAAATATACTGTATAAAATGAAGAAATGTGCAGGAGACGTCATGACACATAGAAAACATCCCTGGCAGATTCTGTAACTTCATCTGTATGGTGAGGCACAACAAAAGTCTTGTCCTTAACGTGTCTTAAGAAAGCCTGGATAACAGGAAATGTCTGTTCATGCTACAATGGGAACATGGAGTCACTGGAAGCTCAGACTAGGTCTAGGCTGGTAGGACTGAGTGGGGTCTGGTCCCTGAGTGGAATCCAGGGTTGTCTTAGATTGGACAGGTTCCAGAGTCTCCCTCAGTATAGTCAAGCTCTTTCATGTCCTTTGGTCATGTGTGTATGGGCCTGATTCAAACAAAGACTAGGTACACGTATGCTTCAAAGGTCTTTAGCTGCTGCCGCCCTAGGATATCCATAGTCAAGCATGTTCCACATGTTTCTCAAAGCCATAATTCCTTATGATGGATAGGAAAACTAGCCTTTAGAAACCACTTCTGGAGAAAAAGATCATTTGGCCTAAAAGGTAGGAGAATACCAAAGAGCCAAGTTCTAACTCACACAGTCTAAATGAACAGCACAAGAGGTTTACCACCACCTGATTACCTTGTCTGGTGGGATGGCATAGAGTTCTGGCACCAAGTGGATCCCATCTTTGCCCCTGATTAAGATTCCTTCCAGAGCTTCTCGGTATTCCTGGACCTGGAAAACAGCCCCAGCACGTTTAGTGTGACAGAGGTCTGGCAGTTAATGATGCAATGGCAATACAACTTAGAAACCAATAACAAACTAGGCCTCTTGGCAACAGAGAAAAAATGCTAACATGTCTGGCTGTAGAAGAGCAGAGAGGGACTCCTGCTGACACCATTGCTTGTCTCTCCCTGAGTCCAGCTCCACTTGCCAAGTTTCCAGGGAGAGGGAAAGGGCAGCCCCTGACGAAGTAGCTGTTTGGTCCTCAAACTTTCCATAGTGCTGTCATTTATACTATGTACCAGACATCAGTCCTATACTCTTCTTTTTAAAATAATTTACTCTTAAGTTTTCTCATATGTAAAATTTGTCTTACCAAGTTTAAAACATCTTGGGTTAGAAATTCTATATTAGGCAGCATGTTCTAGTTCTGCCTAAGTGGTAGTTTTCCAATAATCTATCTATCTATCTATTAGATAGATGCCATACTATACTTTAAAGATGTGTTGTCCTCAGAATGGGAATCAGGATATGGGTTACATTGGGGAAGAGGTTTTGCTTTTGTTTCCACAGGAGAAGAAAAGCTATGGATACCATCAAAATTGATAAAGATTAGATTCAAACAGGAAAAGTCTCTTGATTAGAAGAGGTGACAGTTCAACAGCCTGGTCATCCAATCTAAACTAACTTATAAGACTAACAAATGCCTTTTATTTGATCAGATAAAATGCCAAAAAGGAAACTCCCCAAAGTTAGGGCTGGGGCAGGCTTTTGTTTTTGTCTTTCCAGGAGAATGAAGGTATCTAGCAAAAGAATCTGAAGACCACTAGACAAGTGAGACATCTGAAGAAAAGGGACAAATCATCCAGAGAAAATGTCCCAAGAAAAAGAGTAAACTGCCCTAATGTTATAGCACATTTCCAATAGGATAAAATTTCATAAATCTCCCTAAATGTTTGTTTCTGCTGTTCTCTATAGACATATAAGGCAAATGGTCTTTTTGTAGTCCCAGTTCAATTAAAAATTAAAGCTGGCTTTGGAGTTGGAGGGTGGCTCTTTCCTTCTTTAAACCCAAACATGCTTGTTAAAGGAAAATCCAAAATCTCTGTCTCATGTCAGAAGAGCCACCTGGTATGGGACAGAAAAAAAACAAAATTAGGGGACTATTCTATTGCTACTAATCTCATGACCCTTTGGTATTGACTCTAAATCTTTTTTTAAGGTATAAATATTATTTCAAAATTTGTAAGATTTCTATATCTATTTAATATAAGATATATATATATATATATTTAAACTTTCTGTCATGATATTAATGGTCATATAGAGTACCAATTTTAGAAAAAGGTTGCATCTATCTTTGTGTACATGATTTCAGGCTTGAGTCTGAATTGGGTAACTAGGAATTAAGTTTGTGTACTCCAGATGTACTTAACAAACTGTGGTTCTTTAACCTCTCCAATATCTGCTGCATACGACATTTAAAATATTAAAGTTTTCTGCAGTGAACTGTGACCGTTCCTAACAGTGACCTTTGAAGTCTCCAAAATGATCATGGGGCCCCACAATGATTCCGCCTAGATTGTGGAAATGTCACTAAGCTGACAAACACTACATAAAGATCAGCTTTGGACTACAAACGACAATTTCAAGGTAGCTAGCTTAGGTGGTCTAGCCTCATGCACTACTCCAGCCAGGATTTCAGATAAGCCCTACACTTTCCCATTACACAGAGACTAGCAACAAATGATACAGCTAGCTCTCCCAGGACTTGACCAGTATCTCAATTTTCTCAGGGTCCCCTAGAGATGCTATCACCTTCCAGGAGCAATCTAGAGAACACAATGTCCACATTCCCAAGAGGTGGGGTGGGTAGTTTCTTGTTATTCAATGGGTTATGTATATTTGTCATCATTTAGGTGGGTTGGTTACAAGTTGTTACTGGTAATGGTCAAGAAAGAAAAAGCTGAACAAAGGAGATTAGATTCAGGGATCTTATTCTGAAAAAGGGGGATATAGAAATGATAGGATAAAAGTGTAGATTATTGAATCTACTTTTAAACTAAAAAAGCAACTACTAGTCAAATACTTTACATTGATATGGATTTTTGTATATTGATACAAATTTAAGGTTATTTTTGTTAGAACATACTGTACATGTTTCTATTGCTGTTTAAGGTATTGTACCTATACAGCTCATTTAACAATGTAATGTAAATTTCTAGTCCTTGAAAGTTATTATTACAAACTACTTAGAATAATAAAGAAATGCAGGTTAGTAGTTAGTCACCTATAACAATCAAACTTGTAGTAATGTTAGGTGTGTTTTCAAGGTCAAATATATATTTTAGATAGACAGGTGGTCTTCAAACACTTCAGAGATCTACAGAATATGGCATTTAAGATGTTTTAATAACATATGGCTTTTCATGACAATGAGACACGTCAGCTCCTGGCAGCACCAATCTACTTCAAAAAAGGATAATGGGCATCAAAGAACCTCGATATGGAGTTTGCTTTCTTTATGGCAAAAGATAGCCATTTTGGCAAGAAACTGCCCCTTACCTCAACTGCTGACAGTATATTGTCCAAACTGGACCATCAGGACACACAAAAAAGTGACTGCCAAACTTGACCAAGACAGGGTAGGACAGTCCTTTAAAATTCCTGCTTCACAGAGAAGTTTGTCAGATATTCCAGGACTGTAGACCAAAGATGGATGTCCTAACACTGCAGAGGAACCTGGGGTGACTGTCCAGACAGCCAGCTATTTTTGTCACTTCTTTTAGTTTTAGAAGTCACTTGCTCTGCACTTCCTGTTTACTCAGGTAATATTATATCCTTCTGGGGTCTTTGATGGAGTTGAAGACTAGATAGTCATAGTTATATGTGGTGACGTATTATGTCCCCCAATATACTGTGTCTCCCGATAAAATTTACGAGAGGATCAGAGGAAAAGGCCAGCCACTATAGTAAACAAAAACCATGCAATGTTAGCACACGCCTTTAATCCTATCACTTGGGAGGCAGGGATCTATTGGATCTATGTGAGTTCAAGCCACACTGGGAACAGAGCCAGGTGCAGTGACACACACCTCAAACTCCAACACTAGTTAACCATGGAGGTCTGGAGGTCTGTACAGACAGACAGGAAGTGACAGAGCTGGGCAGGAAGAGGAAGTGATATAGCTGGACAGAGAGAGCAAAAATCAGATGGCAGAACAGCAAGGCATATAGGCATGGGTAGACAGGAAGTAACTTGCATTTGAAAGCTGCCAAGTTGGTGAGGTAAGGTTGGCTGGTGGCTGTTCCTATTCCTCTGATCTCTCTTAGGCTTTAACCTCAATTTCTGGCTCTGAGTTTTTTTATTTAATAGGACCATTTAGCCGGGCGGTGGTGGCGCACGCCTTTAATCCCAGCACTCGGGAGGCAGAGCCAGGCGGATCTCTGTGAGTTCGAGGCCAGCCTGGTCTCCAAAGCGAGTTCCAGGAAAGGCGCAAAGCTACACAGAGAAACCCTGTCTCAAAAAACCAAAAAAAAAAAAAAAAACATAGGACCATTTAGAAATTCGTCTACAGTTATAGTTTTCCTTACTTATGATAGAAGGTAAATGAAGTATAGAGCTTTGGACTCATCATGATAGAATAAATAATGGAGCATTTTCTCCAAATATGCCAAATACAAATGGACTGCACATTGTAAATGTAATTCTTACCTGATAATTGTTCTTATTGTTTATAGTTTTATTATGTTAGAGTTAAAACCTTTCCTTTTTATTTAGACAAAAAGGGGGAAATGTTGTGGAATAGTCTTTTTGTACACTATGAAGATTTGTCACTTGGATTGGTTTAATAAAAAGATGAACGGCCCATAGCCAGGCAGGATTTTGGGGGTGGAGAGGACGCTGGGAAGAAGAAGGGCAGAGACATGGAGAGTCACCAGCCAGAAACAGAGGAAGCAGGAAAGCAGCATGGGCAGTACAGAGTAAAGGTAATAAAGCCATGAGGCAGAAAGTAAATTAATTGAAATGGGTTAATTTAAGTTATAAGAGCTAGTTAAAAACAAGCCTAAGATATCAACTGAGCTTTCATAACTTATAATAAGTTTCCATGTGATTTGGGAGCTGACATGACAGAAAAATCCACCAACAGGATCCCTAAAGCTCATGCCCAGTCAGTCAAGCTGAATCAATGAGTTCTACTACTGAGAGATCCTATCTCAAAAAATAAGGTAGAGAGAGGTGGAGAGCAACTGAAGATATCCAACATCAACCTCTGGTTTTTCACACATGGCATCCTTTACACACACACACACACACACACACACACACACACACACACACACAAAAAAAAAAAAATGTTTATTGGTTATATTTGCTGGGGTTAGGAATATGGCTTGGTGGTAGTGCTTACCTATAATGTACAAGGTCCAAGTTTCATCCTCAGTAAAACACACACACACACACACACACACACACACACACACACACACTTAGATGTAGATGAGTGGTAAAGTACTTGCCTTGCATACACAAGGCCTTGGTTTTGATCCCTTATAGTGCCAAAAAAATCTAAATATGTCAACTAGAAGAAACAGCATAGGTGTGGGGTAGCAGATCTCTGAGAGTTATAAAACAAGATATAATAATGAAGTAACAAACGAAGACATTATGTCCTTTCATTTGAGCATGTTTTTTTTGTTACGACTGCTTACTCTAAACCCTTACCTTATTCAAAACTAATGTTACAAGATTCAAATTTTTTCATTGTCATTATAAATACACACACAAACACACACTCACACACACACACATTCACTCATTATTCAGTATAATTTGGATAAAGCAAAAAAGCTAGTTTTTAAATTAAACATGAATTTCATTTACTCTAGTGAGAGATATCCAAAGATGTGAGTTAATTCTTATCTAAATTATACAAAAGGCATCAATGTCTAACAACAACAACATTTGTGATGTTTTATGCCATAAGTATCGAGTTTCTTGATTTAATTAGTATCTATAATGTCATATAGTACAATCAGCTGGGATTAAAAATGAATTAAATATTTATATTTTACTAATAAAAAGGGAGACTATACTATAGTGATATCTTCCAAAGTTCCATTTCTAATCATTTAAATATAAGTAAGATAGTTCATTGAGCACAAACAACTGTAAATACAGGGGTATTTACACTCAGTCTCATGAAAAATTATGTCAATTCTGGTTATTTTCAACATGTTTGTCTCATCTGTAACATTCACTCCATTAGGTCAAACTGTGTTCTGGATTACTTAATTTTAGGTATAGTAATCTGTGTCACATGTAAATGTTATGTCAGATATAGAGGGGGTAAAAGACAATTCAGATCCAGATCATGATGCCAATAGTTTTCCTATGATCCAGGAGTTTCTTTTTCTTTTTATTTATTCTTCTCTCATATAATATATCTGGAACCCAGCTTCCCCTCCGTCCATTCCTCCCAGTTCCTTCTCCCCTCTCCCCCAAATCCACTCCTCTTCTCTTTCCCTTCAGAAAAGGGCAGGCCTTCCAGGGATATCAACTGAACCCAGTATAACAAGTTATAATAAGACTAGGTACCTCACCCAATATTAAGGTTGGATGAGGTGACCCAGTAGGAAGAAAATTGACCCAAGAGCAGGCTAGAGTCAGAGACACCCACTTCTACTGTCAGGAGTCCCACAAGAACACCAAGCTAAACAACCAGAGCATGTATGCAGAGGGCCTGGTGCAGACCCTTGCAGGCTCCATGATTGCTGCTTCAGTGTCTGTGAGCTCCTAGATTCCCTGCTTAGTTCAATCTGTGGGCTCTGTTCTGATTCAGGAGTTTCTAACAGCCTTCTCTCCTGAAGACTCCTTCCTGCCTCATCTGTATCAGATCCTCGAAAAGGGCCTTCCCAGCTAAAAGTAACCTTACAATATTTGATATATAATATGTGGACCCTGAATGCACAAATTATGATGCTTGGCAAACATGGGGAACTGTGAACAAAAAGCTCTTGAAAGGAATCTGTGGCGCAAATTAATTGGTCTTAATAATAAAAACCCAGAGTCAGCTAGCAGGGCAAATGCTGAAAGAGCAGAGAAGTAAAGCAGCCAGCCAGAGTCACCTCTTGCCTCCATGACTCCTCAGATCGAAAAGGGCCGAGCTCCTGTCTCCTCCCACCTTATAGTTCTCTCTCCACCCAGCCATATCATTTCCTGTCTCCACCTCCCTAGTGCTGCGATTAAAGGCATGTACCTCCCAAGTACTAGGATCAAAGGCAAGAGATCCCAAGTGCTGGGATTAAAGACATGAGCCTCCACCGCCTGGCTCTGTTTCTCTTTTAGACTGGATCAATCTTGTGTAGCCCAGGGTAGCCTTGAACTCCTGACCTTCATGCTTCCTCCTCCCAAGTGCTGGGATTAACGGTGTGTGCCACCACTGCCTGGCCTCTATGGCTAACTAGTGGCTAGCTCCTCACTCTGATCTCCAAGCAAGCTTTATTTATTAGAGTACAAACAAAATATCACCACAGGAATCTGTATATGCAGAGACTGATTAGTGACTAGAATTTCAGTACTGTGGAAAGATTGGAATGTTGCCAAGACCAGAAGCTAGTGACCTTATTTTGAAGTGGGTCTAGCTCTCCAAAGCAGCCACTCCTTGCCCACTTCTGTGTTAGAAATAACACCCTGTGACTAATAATAAAACCCTTTGGGAATTTTTAAATTTAGCGGACCACTAGCTTCCACCACCTCAAAAGCTCAAATACCATTTGGGGCTTACAGAAAAGCTTCCCCTATCTCTGTACCTGCCTCTCTGGTGTACCCACACTACCAATGTATTTTAAACTTGCCTTGATTTATGACTTGCTTTCTTCTGTAAAACTATATAAACTTCATGAAACTGTTTCCATGTTGGAACATGGAATTTGGAGTAGCCTAAATACATGTTCCTGGATCATGGACACTTAAAATGGTTACAGAATAAAGTATCTCTTATTCCCTTAAAAAAGATAGGAAGCAGAGTCATTTTAATCTCCTTATCTCCCTCTGTCCCCTTGATCACTGCTAAGTCTATTTTTCACTGAAATTCAAAGTCAGTCATTCGGAGAACTTCCAATACTTAGAATAAAAGACAAGAAGGCCCGAGATAAACTCTAAGCACAATGTAAGAATGAATAAAGACGGGACCTTAACATTTTAAGTTACTGCCTATATTCCTGAGCACTGGGTTTTCAAAAGCCAAAATGCACAAGACGAGACTACTGCCATCTCCTTCTCCAGACCTGGGATGTGATTAGAATGGGCTCTGAGAAGCCAGAGGGAGATCCTGGTTAACAGGATCTACTGGCACTATTGAGTGTTGTGGAAACTAGCAGATAGGGCCTATCTGGAGAAAGTAAGTCATTAGAGTTATGTTCTTGGGAGAGTGTACTGGGGCCCTAGCTTTTCCCCTACCACATACCCTGTTTCTTGGCCGATATGAAGTAAATAGTTTTCTTTTGCTATAGGCGCCCTACCACAATGTATTACCACATTATAGGACCAAAAGCAATGAGGCTAAAATGACCCACGAGTTAAGACCTCTGAAACAGTGAGCCAAAAGGGACTTTTTCTTCCTTCTAGCTTGTTTATTTCAGATATTTTGTCACTGCGATAGAAAGGTGACTAACACTGTCAGGAAGCAGCATAATCTAAGTTTGTCTTTTAATAAAATCATCCTGGCGCAGGTGTAGAGAATGGAATGAATAGGGAGTAAAGCTGAAGCGTGGGAGGTAGTTAGGGGTTGATACACTAAACAAGATGTTATCTGAGAGTATCACTAAACCAGAGTACCTCTCAACTAGACCTAACTACAGCAAAATGAACGAGTAATCTGAAAGGAACAAAAGGAACACCTGTCTGACACAGAAAGAACTATGTCTTCTAGCACTCATGCTCTTGCCTAGTTTGCCCCACCCCCACTCTTGAGTATGTGACAGTCATTTAACTGACCATGTGATGGAGATGCTTTGCCAGTTCTGTAATAAGACTTAAGAAAGCCTGGCAGCCTATGCTTTTACATTCTTGGAGAAAAGACAACTATGGCATGAAAAATCTAATGGCCCAGAGATTCTACCGCTGTGAAAAGCCCAAGTGAGGCACATGGAGAAAAACCAAGTCTCCGTCACAGCTCAGCTGAGCATCCAGTCTTAGCTGGCAGCCAGATTTTACTCACTAGCCATGTGAGTAGGACTATGTTAGAAGCAGGTCCTCTAGCCCTATGAACTCTCCCAGGGGACAGAAGGAGAAGCAGAGACAATCTGTTCCTACTGGCTCTGCCCAAATAACAGAATTATGAGCAAATCAATAAAACAGCTGCTGCTTTAATTCACTAGGCTTTGGAAAAGTTTTAAAAATGGCAACAGATAGCTGCAACAATGATGTGAATTCTGAATGACTCTATACTAATAGTGATCAGTCCACCAGTGGGATGAACAGGCTTAGGAGCACAATGCCCAGCATTTTCTCACCTGAACAGCATCACCATTGAAGATTCCATCTATGATTAAGTAAGTCCAGAACACAGGCCATTCACATTCAATGTTTTCAAAGAGCTTAAGTTCGGCAGGGTCGTAATGCAATCGATGTGGGTCCTAGAACCAAATTTATGAAACTTTTAGAAAAGAATGTTAGATTTCATATACAATGCCACTGTGCCTCACTGGGTTTCCCTTGCCCGTCTCAGTCAAGGCAGCTTTGTGATGATTAGGAGTCTACTGCCATGGGGAAATGCTAGTTTGGGCAAAATTTCAGACACTAAATCAGAAATACCCACAGGACTCCTCGGTAGTTTATTACATTAAAGCATCTTCTCTCTCTAAGAAATAGCAATTTGCCTATCACAATGCTTGGCAGATGATCTGCTTCATTTATATCATTATATTAGTCACTGTGGCAATAAAACCCAAGGAGAATGCTATAGATTTATCTTTAAAAACTAACATGTGAGCCACAGACTTACTCATCCTTGATTTACAAGCCAGTTTCACATTACTGGCTTGACCTGATGATCATTCTTTTCTATATAACTCCAGGCTTGCTGATTCTAAAATTAATACTTTCCTTCGCAATATTCAACATATAATTATAATCAGCAGAGGGAGAATGACATGGTGGCAAGTAGGTATGGAGCAGTTAAGGAACATGAGAAACAATATTTAAATCCAACCTCTCTTGGGGTTTTATAACCATCCCGAAGGAAGCGACAGCATCCATAACGCCCCTGGTAGGGTGAAGGTGGAAAAAAAAGCAGAGCTGATGAAATCAAAAGCATTTTTCTTTGCCTTTTAATTTCAACTCAAAGCAGCCCTTCATCCCCTTTCCCTTGCGTTTTTCAGTGAGCAAATATGTACCAGTGTTCTTTGCTTTAATGTAAAGAGTTCTTTTTAAGTACCAAGCAAAGCAAATTCAGACTTGATGAACACTCAGAAGAGAATACAGAAGCATTCCATCAGAGGCTAGGGTGGGGCTGTAAATACGGTTACCAAGGACTCAGTGAATAAGCATTCTTTCCATGTGGTTTACAGCATCAGACACAGACGCAAAGGTATCCTCACTAGGTGAAAAGCCCCTGATACTTGGAATAGCTGCCTCCTGTGTGTAGAGCTGGAAAGGTAAACAGATACTCTGCAGACTCAATGCACTCAGGCTGTGCATGCTGAAGATGGTCTGCTTCAGAGGCCTGGCAAGGCCTGGAGAAGGCGGAGAAGGTTACAAGGTGGAAGTATGGAAGAGGAGCTTCCTGAATCTCGTGGCAGCTGGCTCACTGGCTGTAGGTGCCAGGGCTCCTCTCCAGTTTTCTGGGTGTCAAGAAAGGAGACTGGGTGCGATGGTGTCTTATCTGATGTCCCTAATCCCTGGATGGCAGCTTTGGGTCCCTATTTCCCAATTTCTTTTGGGGGTGGTACTACCCTGGCAGTCTTGGCTATCACTTGCCCTGGAGGCCTTTACAAGTTCTGTGTGGTTCTGGGAATCATCCCAGGGGACTTGACGTAGACGCCACTTGTCCTGTAAGCACATTACAACTGCCCTTTCAGCTGCAGCTCCCTAAATCATCCTCTTCTCCACAGAGCTTGACCTCTCCAGTTGCTTTCTTTTGGGATTATGATTGGAGACTCTTTAATTGCTTCGTTTGCAAGGGACAAAGGTATTTCCTGCTGAATATAGGTGGGACAATCAACATGTAAGCTTTGACTTAGGAAACTTACATCCTTGGACAATTTTATGGATTTCTGTTTGCTGAAAATATAATATGGTCTCAGCTTAGTGATCTGTTACTGCATTTCACTGAACGCAGTAACAGGTTTTCACCAAATTTTTATTAGAATATAAAAATATGAGTTTCATTATATTTCATAATAAAAACATTTCCTAATTTTTATATTTTTATTGTACTCTGTTCTCCTGTTACTTTCTTGTCTCCCTTCCTCCCTCCATTGGCTTCTTTGTTCTTCAAAGTCAACCTTTCTCCTTTTATGTGACGTATGTACGTACGTACGTACGTACGTGTGTGTGTGTGTGTGTGTGTGTGTGTGTGTGTGTGTGTGTGTGTGTGTGACTAGAGGTTGATATCAGTCAGTCATTTTCCTCAATCCCCCTCCACCTTATTCTTTTGAGACACAGTCTCTCACTGAACCTGGAGTTCACCAATTCAGCTAAGCTGGCTGGCCAGCAAAACTTAGGGATCCACCCATCTCCTCCTCCCCAGTGCTGGGATTATGAATGTGTGCTTCCATGTCTGGATTGTTCAATGGGTGCTGGGGATCTGAACTCCGGTTCTCATACTTGCATATCAAGCACTTGGATATGTGCTTTTCTTCTGGCAGGGTCTATAGAGCTTTCAAGAGAGTCTCTAAGGAGTCTTCCTATAACCTCTAAAGCAGTGGTTCTCAACCTTCCTAATGCTGTGGTAACCCCAACCAACCATAAAATCATTTCATTGCTACTTCATAACTGTAATTTTGCTAGTGTTATGAACCGTAATATAAATATCTGATATGCAACCCCTACAGGGTTCATGACGCACAGGCAAAGAACTGCTGATTTAGGAAAACCACACCATGAGCTACAAGGATAAGCTAGCTGCCCCATGTCATCACATGGATGTGACATTTAATGCAGAACAGAGGGGCATTGGCCAATGCTTACCTGAAGCTTGGAAATGATTTCATTTTTGGTCACATTTACAAGGTTCACATCTTCTACTGCAAAGGCCGGGAAAGAAATAATAGAAAGAAGTCCAGCATCGATTTCTTTAGATGTTGATGCTCTTGGCAACATGGAGAAAAGAATTGACTGAATAAAAAACAAAGAGGTGATTTAAGCTAGTGAAGCAGGACTAGTTAGATATAATATCTAGGGATCGTCACCTTAGCCTAAAGGAAACATTCAAACGAGTTTGTCTATTTGGAAAAGGACTCAGTCTTACCAACATGGCCTCCGCTGGCCACCCCTGCTTACCCAGCCACCCAGACAATGCTTCCTTTTCCTTAGGAGAGGAGTGGGGGAGTTGAAGAGAGCATGATAGTCTGAGGCTTGTGCTAAGAACTGCTACCTCCCTTCTTTCCATGTCCACTGATGGGGAGGGACTACAGCGCTGTTTGTGTCAGCAGGTCAAGATGTCTGGCTAGGAAGACAGAAACCAGACAAGAACACTCACACAGGACCAGCACAGAGAAACGGATGCGTCTGTGAAATGGGACTAGATGGGTCAGGGAAGTTGGAAACTGCTTGAAGGAGCAGTAAAATGCAGAAGATCTCATGAGTGGTCAGACAAAACAGTAAGAATTAGTTTACAGAACATTTTTAAGATCATCAGAGGTACTACAATACGGCCTCAACAATAAGGTAGCTAGATCAAGCACTATAAATGTAGAAGGGGTTAGAATTATACGGAAATGTTTGGAAAAGTAAAAGAAGTAATGTTGAGATCTAGCATGTACAGACACAGGCTAGACACCTGCAAAAACAAGCTCATTAAATATTCCATCTGAAGATAGAGATAAGGTATTATACCAAATTAATACACAAGGACTCTGAGACACAGGATTCATGCCCAAGGTCATGCAGCCAGTGACCAAGCTAGGGTTATAACCCAGCTTATTCTTTCCTACTGTACTATATATCTACTAAGACAAATATCAGTATTCCTTTATTAATGTATACCATAAGAAAATACCATAGACTTCATTAAGTCTTAGTGGGGAAAATGGAATGAGCTGGAAGGTGGGGTTAAGATGAGTAAAACCTTTCAGCTCTAGAATAAAACTTTTTTATAGTCAATCAATTCTTGGCTCAGTTCTTTAACTATAGTCATGAATCACTTAGTGAGTGGTACATTCTGAGAAATATGATACTAGGTGACTTCATCATTGTACACTTACAAATACTTAGATTGTATAGTCTACTACACACATAGGCTCTATGGTACATTTTGGTCAATAAGAGACAAAGTACACTATGATACCACAGTATATGCCACGTCTCATTGACCAAAATGTAACTATAAAGTACATGGTAATAATCACTCCTTTTCAGGGTTTCTCTGCCTGGAAACGCAAATTTTCACTTGAAACATTTTACAAGTGTTTTGGGTTTAGATTTTTGGAGACAGGTTTCATGTAGCTTAAGCTAGCCTTGAACTTGGTAATTCTCTATGTAGCTTGTGGGAGGGGCTACCCACCAGCCCCACATTTCCCCAGAGTGCTCTTGAGTAGGGGCAGCAGGAACTATTAGTTAGAAAGGTAGAGGGGGAGGAACAGATAGAAAATACAGGATAGCCTCGAGAGGGCCTGGATCCTAATCCATCGGGCCTAGAGTGTCTCTGCCCTAGGGTATCTATAGGAATGTCAAGGTGTGGAGCAAAAAGACCTCCCCCAGCACAGCCAAGTGCAGGCCATCTCGGACACCTGCACTCAGGCCTGTGGTCTAATCATCCTCTCTATGCAGACCTGCTGGGTAAAGCCACGAGGAAACCTGAAAATGAGCTCCCACAGTAGCTGAAGATGAGCTTGAACTTTTGGTCCTCTTGCCTCTTCCTTCTGGGATTCCAGGCATACACCACCAAACATGGTTTATTATTGACAAGTTATGTATCTGACTCACTTTAGTCCTAGCACATAGTAGGTCCACACTAATAATTGCTAATAATAATTAAGAACTGTCTGCTGGATGGCACTCCCTACACTGTACCAATTATTCCTGTGGTCTGTATTTCCAAAAAGTTCTATGAATTGGCCATCTCTTCTCATTTCTCTCTCCTCTCACCCATTCTGCACAATGCCTCCTTCATTTCAAGTGAAATTCCACTTGCGAGCCCCTCCATTTGGGAGTACCAAGGAACGAACCTGTGAGAAAATCACTTATGTCCTCAAAAAACATAGCACAGATTTTGCTTCTAGTGAAACCAAGATGCTTCGGCTGTTAGCTCCACACACACACAAAAACCTGATGGTGTATGTCTCATAGTACTTTCTGGATACAAAGTACTGGGGCAAGTTGTCCAGGTTTACTGTGATCCTTACAGTTACTCTGAGGCAGGAAGAACGGTGCCTAAGCACATGCCCACTTTAGAGTGGGGGAAGCTGCGGCACAAAGAAGTCCAAGTCAGATCAGTAACTGGGGTGGAGCCCACGCCGTTCTGGGCCAGGAGTCTCCTCCCTACTTTCCAGAGCTCTGGAGGAATGACTGTTACCTGGCAGTGCTCGACTTCGTCAGGTAGGACATGAATGACTGACTTGCGTCCTCCATGGGCTCCAAAAAGATCAAGTTCATCAATTGCCTCAAGTGCTGCCTACAAACATGGGTAAGAATTACTTTTCTTTTAATAAACACGTATGCATGCTAATGTGGCACTCCTTTTTCATTAAGTGTCTAACACACACATTGGAGAAATGTCTTTAAAATCTAGCTAGAGTCTTATTGCCATGGTCTCTCTTCATTTTCAGTAGCTCAGAGCTTTCCAGGATAACACTGCTCATTCTATGAATAAGAAAGAAAGGGAGAGCATTCCCTCACACGAAAGTAATATCCTACTGAAAGATGGATTTTAACAAGTCTATAACATCATGTGTGGGGCACTACAAACTAATTCCAGGTTGGCTTTTCTCTCATCGACTTTTGCAGTTAACCTACCTCATGGTTAGTTGAGAAAGTTAATTTGGTTTTCAGTAAAAAGTTCATTTCTGCCAGTTTGCTGTAACAGCATATTCATTGTTGCTTTTAAAACTGTGGCTCTGGGGCCTTCATGCTGTCTAAGCAGTTCATGCCTCTGTTGTCTTTAGCAAGGGATTCACACCAGTGGTCTGCAGGCTGGATGTGCCCAACAGGTACACTCTGTTGGGCTCTCAGAGTCCCCCCACTTATGTCTTATGTTTCCACTCTTCTTGTCTCCATCCCTGGCCTGCCTTGTCTCCTCTCTTCTCCTTTCCCTTTTTAGAACAGGCCTCACTGTGCTGCCCAGGTTGGCCTCAAACGCCTGGGTTCAAGTCACCATCCTGCTCCAGCACTCTGAGATGGTGGGATTAGAGGCCTGCATTACAGAGCTGGCTTGATGACCATTTTCTAACTGCTTCCGAGCTGGAATACTTTCAGGGAAAGTTCCCAGCATCCCCAGTACCTTCCTCTAGCCCTATTCTCCTTCTCTCTGATTACTGTTACTTATCTGACCTTGTAGACTTGAAGATGTGCACCTCACCTAAAAGTGCTCCTGTCCTCTGACCTTTAACCCTCGCTATGACCCGGAGAGGAAGAGTGACCATCACTAACACAGATTAACAGCAAGAGCTTGCACCCACAGCTGACACACCAAACAGTACGAGCTGAACAACTTATTTCCAGTCACATGCAGACTTCAGTGTTGGGAACCTGTTTCCTTGACCTGTAACTTCACTTGGCTGGGGTACAGGTGCCACGTGGATTTCATATATTTGCTGCAGCCTTTTGGAAAGAAAACTGGACTAGTCATGTGAACTCCAAATTCCTGAAGAAGAGAAGCAGACAAAGCAGGAAAGACACAGAGAAGGAGAAAAAACAGGACTGTCACCTTGGCCATTCCCACAGAGCTCGCATTCAGTTCTGGAATGCCCTGATTAGTCTTATCTCCACGCTCCCACATTCCATAATCCTGGGGGAGAAAAAGGCAGCCAGCCGTCAGAGGTGGGGGAGGACATAGCAACACTACGGAAAAGCACTTTCTTTATGTTAGCACCAGCACAATAAACATGAGCATGCCTTCTCAAAGGCTTTGTGGCTTTGTACGTTTCTTCTGTTCTTGCTCAATTTCAGCTTAGCTGGCCTCTGTACAGAATTTTAGAAGGAAATACTCAAGTGGAACAAAAGAACACACAAAGACACTCCGAAGGCTTATTTCTAAAGGGCATTAATTTTTAACAAACTCAATTTGCAGTGAACAATATATTTTACTTATCTTAATATCGAAGTGCTGCCCTTCTATTTGGCCAGTGCCTTTGAACTTATTTAAAACAATTTCAAAAACTATTTTTAGCATTACCTCTTGTGTAAAGAAAATTGCAGCAAGTAAGTAAAGCCAAGGTCAAAAGTGACTCACTGAACGCACATGGTATTCAAGACCCATTCATACAAATTAATCGGAATACTGTCACACTCAATACTTATATACCTAACTTTGGTGATTCATATTTTTATTAAAAACCCAAGTGTCACATGTTGTTTCAAAAATGCTGCATACACTACGAAAAGAGCAAAATCCTAACAAGAACCAACATGGCTGCCTAAACATGATACCATGAGCAAATATGATACCAACAGACATGTCAACATGGAAGGGGAAAGACTCCTGAAGCCTCAACCATAGACAAAGAACTACAGGCCACTAAAGAATGCTGAGAGCTATAGTCCTCCCCAGGGAAGAGCACATCACTTGGTTGTCCAATACCAAATGGTCAGCCCTGAAAAAATACACATACAAGCAGCATACAGACTGAGTAGATTATATTTAGATATTTAAGAATACACATGTGTGTGGGGGGGGGCAATTAAAGAAAAAGGCATGAATTTGAAAGAAAGCAAGGGGGGTATATGGGAAGGTTTGGAGGGAGGAAAGAGAAGGGGAAATAACATAATTATATTATACTCTCAAAAAAAATAAAAAAGAGCAGAGTTGATGCCAAAATAATCAGTTTTTATTTTTTAATATCCAAAGAGGAATGATGGCCATAGTGGCCCCTACTACGCGAAGTCATGAAAATTGAAAATTAAGACTAATGACTTTGGTTGGGGAGTAGCAAAGACTTCAAAAATATGAAAAAAAAACCGACATAGTATTCATACCCGTAATCCCAGCACCTAGAAGGCAGAGGCAGGAGAATTGCTGAGTTTGAGGTCATCCTGTCTCAAAAAAATTTAAAAAGTAAAAATAAAAAAGAACAAACAAAAACAAGGAAGGACATTTTCAAATGTGAACACCGAAACCTAGGCAGACTGGGGCCATTGTAGACCCTGCCCTGCGAGCAGGCCTTGTAGGTGGACCCAAGTGTCTTTTCTCATATCTGTGCATTCTTTTGCTTCTAATATTCCATACTCCAATCTAGCCGCCATCAAATTCATCCTTGAAGACTGTGTGATGAGTTCAGCCTTCATCTCAGATAAACTGAGCAATAGTTTCTTTCCTAGTAGATCCCATCAATGACTCTTTGAATGGCCATACCCTCTCTAATCTGGCCTCTACCTTCAGCATGCCAGCATGTTGACAGATACTCCACCATTTCCAGTGTCAATTTTCATCTGAAGTCTGTGCCTTTACTCTGCACTCTCTACCCCATATGCTCCCAACCTCTGCCGTCCCTAAATCACACACCCCCAGCCTGTTCCTGTCTGTAACCGCTCATTACTCATACTATTCCTCACTCAGATGCCCTTTCTCTTCCTCTCTTCTTATGGAAACCCTACTCATCTTCCAAGGTCCAACTGAAAATACAACTTTCCCACAAAGATCTCTCGAAATTCTTTAGACTAGGGTTTGTCAACTTTGGCACTACTGGCATTTTGGGACAGATAAGTCTATATAGGGTTGAGGTGGCTCTCTTCTGTATTATAGGCAGTTCCTGGCCTTCTCTCACAAGATGCCTGTTCCCTCCTAAGTGTGACTGCCCCAAATGTTTCCAGATACTACCACTGTCCCGTGTGAGAGAACGATTACCAATCAACACAAATCACTGCTTTAGAACTGGAATGAGAAAACTATGGCCCTTGCTCGTTTTTCATGAAGTCTACTTGAGACACAGCTATGTTCATTTGGGTACACAGTATCTATGGAGCGTTCCTGTTGCACAGGGTCAAGTAGCTGCAGAAGCCATAGTGCCATCTGCCTTTTTCTTACTGCTTTGACAGTCAGCCTTGCAAATTATTGTCTAGAGCAGTGGTTCTCAACCTGTGGGTCGCGACCCTTGAGGGGGGGTCAAACAGCCCTTCCAATGGGACACCTAAGACTATTTGAAAACACAGATATTTACATTACGATTCATAGCAGTAGCAAAATTATAGTTATGAAGTAGCAACAAAAATGTTATGGATGGGGGTCACCCCAACATAATTTAACTGTATTAAAGGGTCACAGTGTCAGGAAGGTTGAGAACCACTGCTCTAGAAGTACATCAAGGCTTATCTTCCAACACAGACAGAAGCCTTGAGGAAGTGAACTCTGTTTTTGTTTATACTCATAGTGTAGCCTTCTCTGTCTGTGCCCTGATGGGGTAGTCCCCATGGTGCCCCAGTTTCCATCAAGGCACCAATATGGCCCCCTTTTCAGCCCAACTCATACACATCCTATGGACCATTTGAAGGTGTTATTTATAATATAGTAATGTATTCAGACAGAGTGTGTGGTACATTCCAAAATGAAATCCCCAACTATATCCCAGGACGAAAAAAATGCATATACTTTGCAGACAGAGATGACACATTTCACACAGCTCTAGTTTTGCTACCATTCTAGTGAGTCCCCAACAGCTGGCTTTCACAGAACTGGATGATTTTATTTGATTTTTCGACAACTGGAAAAAAGACTGCCAGCATGGGTACTTACAGCAACTTTATATGCAGCTTCTATGTAAAAGACAAGATTCTGTATGAAGGCCACTTCATCAAGGGTGAAAATAATACGCAAGCCTAATAAAGAAAAGCGACACTGTGAAGAGAGCGGCCGGCGGCCGGTTACACACAACAAATACTTTGCTAGCACATAAGAATTTTTACTCTCCTTACTGGGCATCACCAGTTAACTCTGAAGGAAGTCCTAAGGTTAATGTATAACCTCAGAAAGCAGAGGGGAAGTAAAAGGAAAGACAGAAAGTGGGGGTAGCTCCACCACTGAGGGTGTGCTATGGGAAAGGTCCAGACATAAGGCATGGGCTCTCTGGAACATGGTATGTTTGTGCAGAGAAGGTTCCAATAAAGCAAAGGTTTGAGCCTGAAGTATCGGTCTCTATCCCTGAATGAGCCAAAGCAAAACTTGCACATGCCCAGGTAGAGCTAATTTCTGTCTCCAGGTGTCAGACTGCATTCCCTGCCCTATCGCAGACACAGATGCACATGACACCACAGGGAGGCATGCTTTTCCTCTGTATGATCGACTACTAATTCCCAGTACTTGGTATGTTCTCAGTGTGGCTCTCTGAATTCAGCGTTGCTGATGTGACAGTACTAAG